AAAATAAAACCAAAAACTCCGTTCATGTGGCAAAAGAGATAAAAAACTGAAAATTCCCTAAAATAAAACGTGGCAAGGAACTTGAAATCTCATATTCTGGTAGAAATTTAAAATGGTATAACCACTTTGGAAAAAATTTTGTTAGCTTACAGTGTTTCCCAAACTTTTGACATATGTGTATCCCTTCTATAATTTTCGTAACGCTGAGTACCCCTCGTTCTCATGAGAATGTAGAATTAGGCGCAGCTAAGCACGGTGCAGTGCATATCCCCACCAAATTCCGGTGCAACTCGTAACCCCACCAAACTCTTCCCGTACCCCTGGGGGTACGGTACCACAATTTGGGAAACACTGGCTTCTTATAAAGTTAAGCATATACTTATTTTATGACAACTCAAATTCTACTTCTAGGTATTTATTAAAGAGAAAAGTGAATATACTTTAACTTCACCTCTACTGATTAAGTGTGATAGGTTAAAAAAAAAAAAAAAAGTTGCCACAAAAACTGTATCAGCACCAGAAAACTTTTATGCAGAGGCTACTGACCCAGAATTATGGGTAAATTGACTAAGGGTTGGACAAGCTTGTTCAGTTAGCAAAAAAGAGTTGAAAATAAAAATTTAAAAAGCCCTTATAGGCAGGCACACTAATTACAATAAGAAGTGACCATTCAAAGTTTGACTATAAGAGAAATTTCCCCTGGTACCTATGCTTGCTAACCAAAACAACAATAAAACAGTCGGAGTACTTAGTTTAGGGCCAAAGATTTCCTGAATACCTCAATATTAACAGAGGGTATCTCAATGATTTTCCACAATAACATAACAAATAATAGGATTCAACAAAAGCAGTTCTAAAAACAAAGTTAAAAGTGATAAATGAACTAATTAAGAAATCAGAGATCTTAATCTAATTTTATATGTCAAGGAACTAGAAAAAATAACAAATTAGCCTCAAAGTAAGATCAGAGTCGTAATGAATGAAATAGGAATCAGAAAAAAAACAAAAGAAAAAATACAAAGGATCAATGAAAATGAAAGCAGATTCATGGAAAAGATAAAAGTTGATGAGTCTCTAGCAAAGCAAGACTAAAAATTGGAAATGAAAAAAAGATACAATTGATTCTATAGAAATACATAGGACCATAAGAGACTATTATGAAAAATTATATGCTAGTTAGATAACCTAGAAGAGATGGATAAAATTCTAGAAACACAAACTAGCAATACTATAATAAATTCCCAAAAATAGAAAACCTGAACAGCCTACAAATGGGCAAAGAGATTGAATCAGCAATCAAAACCTCCCACACAGAAAACTCCAGGAGACGGCTTTACTGGTGAAGTGTACCAAACATGCAAAAAATTAATACCAATCCTTCTCAAACTCTTCAAAAAATTTGAGGAAGAGATTGCCGAAACCGGTTTGGCTCAGTGGTAGAGTGTTGGTCTGTGGACTGAAAGGTCCTGGGTTCAATTCTGGTCAAGGGCATGTACCTGGGTTGCAGGCACATCCCCAGTAGGGGGTGTGTAAGAGGCAGCTGGTCGATGTTTCTCTCTCATCGATGTTTCTAGCTCTCTCTCTCCCTTCCTCTCTGTGAAAAATCAATAAAATATATTTTAAAAAAAATTTGAGGAAGAGGAAATACTTCCAAACTTATTGAGGCCAGCACTGAGAATATCATAAGAAAACTATAGATCAATATCCCTGATGGCTAGAAATATAAGAATTCTCAATAAAATATCAGCAAACCAAATTCATGAATAAATAGGATTATACACCATGACCAATGGGATTTACCCCTGCAATGCAAAATGGTTCTATATATGCAAATCCATAAATGTAACACACTATATTAATAAAATGAAGGATAAACATCACATGTGAATTGATGCAAAAAAATAACATTTGACAAAATGTAACCTTTTTTTAAATGATTAAAACCCTCAGAAAATTGCATATGGAAGAAACACTCAATAAAGGCCAAAAATGACAAACCCACAAGTAACATAACACTTAATGGAGAAAAAGACTTTCTAAGATTAGGAACAGGACAAGGATGCCCACTCCTACTTCCTTGATTGAATAAAGCATTGGAAGTAGTAGCTACAGCATTTGGGCAATACAATGAAATAAAAGGCATCTAAATAGAAAAGGAAGAAGTAAACCTGTCATCATTTGCATATGACGAGGTTTTAACACAAATTATCTCAAACCAAAGACTGCTAAAAATAATTTTAGTAAAAATTATTACTAAATACAAAATCAACATACAGAAATCAGTTTCATTTCGATACACTAAAGATGAAACATCTGAACAAGAAAATGATCTTAACACCACCAAAAAACAATACTTAGGGACTAAATTCAACCAAGAAAGTGAAAAATATAATGAAAACTACATCACTTTGCTAAAAGAAATCAAAGACACAAAAAGCAAAGATATCCCATGCTTACTGACAAAGAATGCTGCTATAATGTCATATAACCCAAAGTCATCTACATATTCGACGGAATCCCCATCAAAATACCGAATAGAAACACACACACACACACACACACACACACACACACAAAAAAAAAAAACAATCATTAAATTTGTATGGAACCACAAAAGACCCTCAAATAGCCAAACCAATCCTGAGAAGCAAGGAAGCTGGAGGTACCACACTTTGTGACAAAGCTACAGCAATAAAAACAGTATGATACTAGCAAGACAAATGTAATAAAGTTCAGAATTAATCCCTGCTTATATGGTCAACTAATATTTGGCAAGGGACCCAAGAGCATTCCATGGAGAAAGAGTACTCTGGGAAAATTGTGCTGGAAAAACTGAATAAACTCATGCAGAGCAATGAAATCAAATCCTTATCTTACACCACACACAAAAATTCGAAATTAAAGACTTAAACATAAAACCTGATACTATAATACTCCTAGAAGAAAATGTAGAGAAGCAGTTTCTTAGCATGGGCATTGGCAAGCATTTATTAGATATGACAAATAAAGCACAAATAATGTAAAGAAAAAACAACAAATGGAACATTAAAATTTAAAACTTTTGCACAATAAAACATTTAAAACACAACCTACAAAATGGGAGAAAAAATATTTGTATATACCATATATCTGATAAGAGATTAATAACAAAATATATAAGCTAATAAAGAAAAAAAAAAGCTTAATTAGACTCACGCTGTGTTTTTCAAACTCTATTGTATGTTACAATGAAACACAAAATATACCTCAAATTTTTGGGACATCACTTTGGTTCTGATTCAGTAGGTCTGACATTAAAGAAAAAAAATTAGCATTTGTCACAGATTCTGAGATGCTGATACCATTGGTCTAGAACTGATATTTTAATAACCACTGACCTGGGCTAGAAGACAAAAGGAAAATATTCAAATGATCCTTCGCTATCTGTCCCTAGGTTTACAATCTTATACGTTTCTTATGCTGCAGACACTCCAATTCTTATTAACGGCAAAAACAAAGATAAGTTGATGTTTATTTTGTTTAACAAGTAGATATGAATTCCCATCTATGAGTTACATACAAAATATGTATCACTATCAAAATGGCAATGGAAAAAAAAATTTTTTTCAACTGATTTTGACTAGAGACTCTAAGAGTTGCCAAATCACAAATGACGAGCTTATTGTTATAACCAAAACCATCCATACAAAAGGACGTATTTTATACATTTATTTTCTAATAAAATATATGAAACTAAAAAATGTGGTCCTGGTGACTGAACACAGTGTTATTAGTTTTCCTTGCCATCTGCCCATGCTTTATGGAACCTATTAATTCAAATGACAGACATAAGCAGCACAGAACACAAAGCCAGGATGCCCTGAGTTTGAATTCTCTACTCCACAACTCACTCATTTTGACTTAGGTCAAGTTATTCAACCTGTGCCATAAACCAGTTTTCTCTCCTGTTATATAGTAATAAAACTTACCTGTTATATAGTAATAGAACTTACCTGATAGGTTGAATTTGAGGATCAAGTTCATATTCACTGAAGTCCTTAGTGACTGGCCCATCACTAATCCTTAGTGTCTTGATATTTACAAAAGCCAACCAACATGCCAAATATTAAAAAATGAAGATAAAATGATTGGCCCAAACACAAAGTTATATGCAGTTTATGAGAAGATATAGACACTTACAAATTAATCATTGAAATAAAATATGAAGTATGGAACTGCAAACTGAAATAAACATTGTGAAGGAAAGGATAAGCATTTTTAAAAAAGCATTAATAGACCCATTTCCCTGTTCCTAGGCTTAACACTAATACTTTTACTCAAAGTATCAGCCTTAAAAAAAGATTATCTATCTGGATAATAGCATAATCAAAAATGAACGGCAAGTTAAATTATTTTGACACAATCTTTAACACAAAAATGTTAAAGGCTGGAAGTTTTATTTCATTTTAATAGACATTAAATAACCTTGTAAATTGGAAAACTAAAAAGTCATTAATTAGCATTTAACAAAAATATGCTGTTCAGAAAAACTGTTCTTGAATGAATTACAACTAAAAACTACATAAAAACTTAATATCAAACAATAACTGCCCAAAAGAAAATGTTGCAAGCCCAGTATTTTAAGGATAATGCCACACAAATATATAACCCCGTGTGCCTACCCTTACTTAACAAGACATGCCATACAACAAAATGGGTTTAAGTTGTAAGATACTTGGAACAGCAAGAAAGCAATCAGGTAAAAAAAACAACTTTCCAACTACCAAACAAACCAGCAATGAAAATATATGGGGGGGAAAGACACACAACAACAAAAACACCACAAACAACCCCAAAAAACGAATTACAAAACCTAAGAACATGTGATGGCAAGAAATTATATAAGAAACAGAATCAAATACCAAATATGAATTCTATATCAAAGTAATTCATAATTAAACAAAAACACCTGTTAATGTTCTGATAACCCAAATGCCCTAAAACTGACATTAGGCCTTGTACATGAGTTTTTTAAAAAGTTTATTGTGGGTGTATGCATGACAAGCATTTTCAAACTGGAGAATGACTGACTTTTTTTTTTTAAAGCAAGGGGTGGCAGAGCAATAATCCAAAGTCACTTAATGTATTTGTAAGAATTCTTTAAGGTTCTCTTTGCCATTAAGATGCTGAAGACTTATCTAAAGAAAACCAAACAAAAGTTATACATGATAAAAATTATAATTGATGGTATAAAATATAAATTATAATAAAATAGATTACAGTCCTTTGCCAGTATATGTTCAGAACAAGAAATTACACCTTTGACCTATAAACATTTGTCTATGGTAGACTGACTTCAATTTATATTTTTAATGGTTTATAAATTCCTGGCTTAAATTATTACCAAAAACTAGAATATGTCTTAAGAACTACCATTTAATAGTATTCCTCTAAAAGCATGGTCAAAATTAATTTTCTACTTTAGTTAATAGTAACGTAACATGACTTATGATTATGTAAGATTTTAAAACTAGGGAAAGATTAACATATAAAAAATTATGTACTTTTTTTTTTTTTTTGCAACTCCTCTGTAAATTTAAATTTCCTTAAAAATAAGAGGTTGAAAAGAAATAAAAGCTCAACTTCTTAGGACCTTACTTTATACTACTAACAAATGTGGTAGGCAAAAAAAAAAAAATAATTTTCCCCATGATTAGTTTAGCTATCAAACTGATTAGTTTAGCTATCAAATTAGTTACCAAGTATATAATAAACATAGCTTTGACTGCTTTGCTATAGTAATTATTGTACTAGCAATGTTGAGAAAGAAAAAATATATTTCTAGAGGGACAACTTAATAAAAGTTAAGAATTGTAATTTTTTGAAAGTCTGATAAAAGTAAAACACTTTACCTAATTATAAATGTGTTGCTATATGTATGTATAAGTTAAAAGACAAGTATCATTTAAATTTTTATCTGGCCAGCAAATTCAGAGGTTCGTGGAAATTAACAACAGAAAGGTCACTAATGTAACCAGACTAAAGTGTATGCTGTATCCAAAAATAGTACAAAAGTCAGAACTTTGTAACTATTGGGTGTATAATCCGCTTGCTTTAAACAATATTTCAATAGCACAGAACAGAGTAAGGTGGTGTTTAGGGGAAAATAGCCTCAAAAAGGACATATAAAAAAAAGGGTATATTAATTCATTACCTCAAATCAAAATAGCAACCTTTCCCCTAAACAATGAAGATTGCATGTGTCCTATTGAACCCAGGTCCTAAGTTATGAAAACTACCGTTAAAAAATTTAAATACAATTCACTTAAATACTCTATTTGTGTACCAATTTTACTGCCAAAAATTTCTTGCCAGAGTATTTTAGTATCATAAAAGCCTAGTTGCCGTATTTTACATCTTTATTTGTAACAGAGCTAAGCCATTTAACAATTACATAACTACATCTAATAGTTATTTATAGAGTGAGATATACTAATTCTTTAACTAAAATTGTATTTCAGCAAATTTTCAGTGATAAAAATCCTATTCATCAAGAGGACGAGGGTAGAGGGGTTGCAGGGACGAGGGAAGAACCACTCAAAGGGCTTAGGAAATAATCATTTTAATTTCTGCAAGCATAATTCATGCCCCAAAATTCTGCCAGAGTTTTTGCCTTCATAACATTTTTCATTTTCTTTGTGAGCTCTGCACTACCTCAAAAGGTAATCTATTCTTTAATGGGTTCAATAGGCATAAACAATCTAATTCTCTGATACTTATTTAAAAAGTACAATATATAATCAATATTGTATCACCTGGAATTGTCAAACTGTTCATGAAAGTCTAAAAACAAAACAAAACAATAAAACAATTACACTATTTTTATTTAATATGTAATAGCTGTCATAAAGCAACGCTCAAATATTTAGTTTTCTGAAATTCTAGTGTATTTCCATAATGTATTTCTATAATTTTATATAGTTTACCATCAGGAAAGCCAGATATATATTGTATATTTAGTTTCTCTTTATATGTAATTAAAAATATTAAGAGGGTATGGCCTATGATTCAAATACAATTTAACCATCACACCATACCAAGACCTTATAAATAATCAGAGATATTTAACATTATTGCTTAGTCTCATAAAATGATGTATTTTAAATAAATCAATACCTCTGTATTTTTTATTTCCTGTATTCTTAAGTGATACTGCCTTGCAATTAATATAGGTACTGATATAAATTTTTTTGCAATTAGTTGCAAATAAATTGTAATTTATTAATCAATGCATATATTCCTCTTTAACTAGTTACTACACTATCTTACAATTTAATCCTCCTACAGAAATTAACCGTCCGAGTGGAAAAAAAACATTGCAGAGCTTTAACTTTTAAAGATTTCAAGTATTATAGGAACACAAACTCATGAAAAAACTAATTAAAAATTTGACATTCCGTCTTGCTTTACTAATTATGGAATAATAGAGATGTTACTTTATATTCATCTGTTTAACACAATATTATACAAAGAACTATTCTACTTACAAGCTATTTTCTAGCTTTTTCAAGTATGGGACACAACTATAATTCTATTAGTGAGGCTAACTGAATAATCAATCTTAGTTAAACCAAAAAAAGAGAAAAAGGAAAAAGAAAAAAAAAAAAAAAAAAGGAGGCACAAAAAGATAAAACTGACTTTGGCTTTTAAGAACCTACACTGTTGACCCTGAAATACCAGATTCAACTATCACAACAAAACAAAGATTTACAGCAGCAAGCTACTACTTCACCACATATTAAGAATTCTAAAACAGGCAATAACTTTTTATTCCCTCTCAATTCATTCTGTTTTATCCTCTTTTTGCTTTTCCTGGGTTTTGGTTGCAGGCAGTTCAAGGCTTGCCCACTGCATTGGTTCAGCTTTTCTCATGGTGATCTCAATCTTTGTTGCAGTCATAGTTACATAACTTCGCGTTACATCAATCACCTGCAAAATATCAAAGAGAATTAAAGTAAACTTGGGTAGTGTATTAGTCTTGCCTATTTTAATAATAAAAAATTCCAAGACTTTAGTGCTATTTAAATACCTAGATTTCACCTTTTTGGTTAGAATAATTACTAAAGTGCTGCCTTTTACTATAGAAATGGTATTTTAAATTATTATGCTGGATTCATAATACTTACACCCCATAATTTCACATTTTGATGAAATTCCTTCTCTCCTTCGAATACAATGTGCACATTTAACTGAAAAAGATATTTATAGAAAGCTGAATAATCAAATCCAAACTCAAGGTTTATGATATAAAACAATGATTATGAAAATAAGAATATATTGATAAAAATCATTTAAGCCATTTTAACAAACTACCAATATTGTACTTTTTATTTGAAAAAAACATGAGCAGAAAGAAAAATTATCTGAAATTTCCCATTGAGAAAACTAAGTAGCATATTATTTGACAATTTTCTAAGCTACTACAGTGTCTCCAAAATGCTCCAGAACTGTATTATGTAGAAATTTTCATTTAAAATATTCCTTTAAAAGTAATTTCAAATTTTATATGGGAAAGATGAAAAGAACTTATCCTAAAGCCAATTCAAATAAGAATAATTATTACATCAACATAAAGAATAAATACAAAGATAATTTTTACTCAGAGATCTTTAGTGTACTTACCAATGTGCTATTTGCTACTACTTGACTAAGTTCCGGAAGTGAATTTTTAGCATATACTGAAATTGTGACTTGACCCCCAGTTTGATGCCAGTCATGTCTACATGGAACAACTTTTTTCCCCTGTAATATAAGACAACCTTTATGAATTTACAAAGCTCCATGTAACTTCTGAAAAAGAGGATTTTTTAAAAACCTATCTACATGAGAAAAAATTATCATGTAATTACCTTTAATTCTTATGAGTAAACTTCTAAAGTTGCCATAAAAAGTCTGAATAGTAAGATATATCATTATACCAAGAACCTTTATAGTTTTATGATTAGAGAACACCTGTATTCCTTCTTTTTTTTTCTTTTAGAGCCTCCCTTCCTCTCTGAAATCAATTTAAATCATATATATTTTTAAAAAGGAGAGATGAATGGATAAACAAAGTGTGAGACACACACACACACACACACACACACACACACACACACAGAAGGAAGTATTAAAACATGCTACAGTGTGGATAAGTATTGGAAATATCATGCCAACTGTAATAAGCCAGACAGACACAAAAGGACAAATATTGTATGATTCCACTTATATATCTAGAATATATAAATTTGTAGAAATAAAAAGTAGGTTGAGGTTACCAAGGAACTGGGGAAGCAGCGGAATGGGGAGATATTGATTCAATGGTATAGCGTTTCTGTTTGGATCAAAAACTTTTGGAAAAAGATAGCAGTGATGACTACATAACATTGTGAATTTACTTCAGGCTACTGAATTTTACACTTCAAATGGCAAATTTTTAAACAATCTGAACTTTTCTTTCACACAATTTATAATTCTGCTTACTCTTTTCTATAAACAGGAAAAAGAAAGCTATTTTAATTTACAAAAAAAATCTCACCAAGGGTTGTATTCTGAAAACTTTTGCATATAATAAAAAACAACAGTTTATTGTTTTAAATAAAATCTTCAAATTTTTGGACTTAGGAGAAAATGCAAGAAGACTTCACTCTTTTGCTAATAAAACACATTTAGAAGTTTTGTGATAGATGAATTATAATTTGAAGGATTTACAGTGTGGGACAAAAGGTTTATAGTTATTCATATAGAAATAATATAATAATTAATAAGTAATAATACAAGAATTAAATCCTGTGTTTCAGGTAATCACAACTGTAAACCGACTTTTGTTCTACCCTATATTTAATAATCTCCAACCATGTGCTATTAAAAGGCAGAAAATATAGAATACTCACATGCAGAATAAATCCCTACAGCAATTTGAAAATTTACAATTACTTTTAAAGTTAAAAAACATATACTGAAAATATTTGCCTTGGATTTTTTAGTGCCAATGCAGCACATAAATCTAACTACATTACATAATATATTAATAATAGCTCTCAAACACTTATTTAGCAATAAATTACTTGCTTTTTACAGCTTACTGGGATTTGGGGGAATTATTTGCAGAGCCCCAAGTCTTTTTAAAAAGCTACCTAGGGAAGTAGGAACTGATGCTTTCTTTTTTCTGTTGACCAATTTCCCTGCAAACAGAGGCAATCAAAACAATTTCAACAAGTCTGCAACACTTCTCTTTCGCTACCAAATGAAGTGTTTGTTCATATGCAAATGGCTCAATGGACTTCTAAGAGACCAAAAGACAATCAGAGGTCTAAATGATCCATAACATCAAATGAGCAGAAAAGTGATTAAAAAAAAAAAAAGTGGGAATAAACCACAGAATTACAGAAAAATATCTAAAAAATTTTCCAGGCTTAAGTATTTCATAAAAATGTATATACTAGCATTAATATATACAATGACTATTTTGATCAAAGGGCATGCTCTGGGAGTTTGACTCAGATTACTTTTAGTTTTTAGGCCCATCAAAACTGTGTGTGAGATAGAGGCAAACTTTTATTTTTAATCTAGATAGGATAATCTCAAATTTTAAAAAATAACACAGATGAATATACTTTAATATGTTATCTTGAAAAGGTAACTTACAGCATCTTTTGCCGTCCACATATGTTTCCCTTTTGTACAGCCCTCTTGGGCTAAGAAAGTATTAAAATCAGAAGTTTTTCTTCTACAACAGCTCCAGTATTTCATCCTATAAATTATCATAGAAAAGTTTCAGAAATAAAATCTCACAACCAATTAAGTTCAGAATTATCATAGCGACAAGTGTGATGTAAAAAAATCACTAAGTGTGCAACTTTAGTATCTTAAATCTAAGTAACCAGTTAATATTATCAAGACTAATATTTTAAATTCACAATGTCATTTATTATAAGTTTTGGATCTAAGTAATGGTGCTTAAAAACACCATAGAATTACAAATCAGCTTTTCACTGACAGCTCCAGTGTCCTCATGAAGCTACCAAAGAGTGCTATGACCAGTTTTATATCCTCACATTTTAATAACCCAGGAAAATGAAAACATGCAAACAAAACTAAAAACTAATGTTTGCACATCTGTGAAGGTCATTCCCGAAGTATTGGGTTTGTGAATAATGAAACCCACCATTATATACTTGATAAAATCTAACATTAGAAGACAAAAATTACAGTAAAACTTTTGGGCTTGATTTCTAAAGAATAGTGGAAACAATGCAAGATTTCAACACAGTTTTTCTATAAACTACAGGATGATGAGAGGCTCTTAGCTACAAGCTGTAGACAAGCATGGGTTTTTGGACACCACAACGTCGGTGGTGTTAGTGCCCAAGGTCAAAAACTATAAATGCCCTGCAATGCTGTTCTTCAAACAACAAAAAGCTGTTTAGCTCAAATAAGTATCACATCCTATATAATAAAGAGCTAATATCCTAATTAGACTGGACAGCGGAATGACCTTCTGGAATGACCAGTGGACGGGGCCGTGGGGCCACGAGGCAGCTGGGGCTGCAAGGGCCGAGTCCCTTGCACGAATTTCATGCTTTGGGCCTCTATTAAAATATAAAATAAGGAGAAACATGAGGTTTGAGTCACAATGGCCACTTAACTGAAATACTTTTTCAGTTTCTCATGAGTAAAAAGACAAAACACACATTTCTAGATTATTGTAAAGATTACACAACACAAATAAAAATATCTAATTTACTGCAGGGCAAATAATGTTTAAAGGCATAATGACTTTTCTAACCTCTACCATAAAGTTTTAATAAGTAAGTTACCCTTCATGGAAAATAGGTACACCAGAATGATATACACAGACTTCTTCTAGACTCTGTAGACCCTGATATGTCTAAAAGAAAACAAACAAAACAAAACAAACAAAGTTACATACCTTAAAGTTACATTTCACACATATTAGTAGTAGTGCTGACCTCTATGAACTATGAAAATGCTCAAGAAATAACATAACCTAGTGTAGTCACAAATTCACACAGGCCATTTCAATAAGAAATGAAAAATTATTCCTGTTTGAATATGCTTGAGTTTCAGTCCCCTATGAAAAAGGCAAATCGAAAAGTAGGCAATAGGATGTATTAATATGCTTTCAGACTTTTGGGTATGAAGTCACATCCAAGAATATTGAGGTATTTAAATTTACAGAATATTAAAACCAAGAGATTAGAAATCTCATCAGAAATGCAGTTACAGTATGATTTATGTGCATAGTAAAATCTGTTTGGGTATTAGGGATTAATATGGACAACCTAGTAAGAAATTCTGCAAGTTCTAGAGAGATTTCTTATTCCCATGAAGGGTAATATGAGCTGCAGACATATACATAGGATTTGTCTAGAAGACCCGGGCCCCATTCCTGCTGTAGGTGAAGGCCCTACAGATGAATTCACAAAACGTTATGTTAATAAAACATAAATGCAGCCAGTAATATATTTTCTATTTTGGTATTTACTGTAACCACCTACAGTACAGAAAATAAAATTCTGTACATTTACTCTTGTGTAAATCCAAAGTTCTGGGTATGTGTATCTCCTAAAGATATAAGTACATGTAACTCAGTATGTTAGATTCTGAACTTATCACTGTTGCTCCCCAAACCTATTATCTTATTTGATGACACCATATCAACTCAATCTCCCAAAGCAAAATTCTGTAAGTCCTCTTCAATTTTTCCTCTCCCTCCAATCATATGCAGTGTATCAAAAACTGTCAATTTGACTTAAAAATATCAACTTGACTTGCTAATCTTTCTCATGATCACCACCATATTTTAGGCAATCTATTTATATAAAATAGAGAGATATGCTAATTAACCAGGAAGCTGTAATGGGTCAACCAGACAGGAGGAGGTTGTGCACACAGTGTTGGGGGGCGGGGCGGCAGGGGCCTCCATGTGCCTGCACTGGCGGAGGGCCTGATCAGCAGAGGGTGTGGCTGGTTCAAGGGCTGGAGAGGAGGCAGAGTCGGACCAGCAACTCAATTTCAAATCACACGCTGGGCTCCTAGTGAGACTATAACAGATTCTCACTCAGGGCCTTGAAGTAAGCAGATTTCATAAATAGGACACAGAAAACACTAGTCACAAAGAAAAAAATTAATGAATTGGATTTATTTTTAATTAAAGAGCCTCTATTTATCAAAAGTCATTAAGATAGTGAAAATGTATACTGACTCAAATAAAACTTTTATCTAAAATAAAATATATAAAGAATTTCAAAAATCAGTAAGAAAAAGCAAATTTAATAGGAAAATAGGTAAAAGATTTGGACATTTCACAAAAGAGGATATCCAAATGGCCAATAAAAATACAGAAAGGTACTCAATCTCATCACCCAGAAAATGAAATTAAAACCACAATGAAAACACTACATACCCACCAGAATGGCTAACATATAAAAGATCGATATTACAGTGTTACCAAGGTGCAGAACAAATGAAACCAGCCTAACAAACTGCTGGAGGAGTATAAATACAACCACTTTGAAAAACTATGTCAAAATATCTGCTAAAGCTGAACATATGCACACATAATGCAGCAATTCCACTTTTAGTCATATCTCTAACAGAATGTACATATTCCAAAAGTTATGCACAAAAATGTTCACAGCATCATTAATCCAAAAATATAAAGGACAATAGCAAGGATAAATTGATATATTCAAACAGCATGTTTCAAAGCAATGAAACTGAACAAACTACGGCTAATGCAAAAAAGATCACCCTAATATTTTATTAGGCAAAGAAGACAGAGACAAGGATACCTGTTCTATGATTCTATTTACATTAAGTTCAAAAACAGATAAAATTCATCTTTGTGGACAGAAAACTGTGGTTACCTTTGGGAGAGTGAATAATGAGAAGAGGCAAAAGAAGGGTTCTGCTACAGAAAATCCCTCAAGCTATCAAATTTGTATTTGCATGTCTTTAAATGTATATTCAATGAAAAAGAGAGTAAAAATTTTCTGTAATAGCCTTCATAACCTAAAGTCTCACTTTTGAGCATTATAAAAGCCTTTCAGGATCTGGCCCCTATTTATCTCTTTTAATCTCAACTTTGCAAGAGCAAGTTGTTCCATTATTAACTATTCTTTTGTTTCCTGCATGCTACTTTTACCACACCTCTGCTTGGGATACACTAGTACCATGGTCAGCAAACTGGCTTGCGAGTCAAATGTGGCTTTTTGGCCCCTTGAGTGCAACTCTTCCACAAAATATCACGGCCTGGGAAAGTCTATTTTGAAGAAGTGGCATTAGGAGAAGTTTAAAAAATTTAGCTCTCAAAAGAAATTTCAATTATTGTACTGTTGATACTTGACTCTGTTGATTAATGAGTTTGCCGACCACTATATTATTAGGTCTAGTAATAATTAATATCGTTTTCTAATACTTTTTTAAATCGAATTTATTTAAACTATACAACAAAATTTAATCAACAATACAGTTGCCGTTGTTTTCTACTACTTGTGCCCAACGCTCAGGAAGCATTTTAATCCCTCTGTTGTAAAATTCTTGTGATTTTGATGCAAAAAATTCGGTCAATGCATTTTTGAGGCATTCTTCATTATTAAATTTTTTTCCAAGAAGAAAGTTTTGCAAAGAACGAAACAAATGGTAATCGGAAGGGGCAATATCAGGAGAATATGCAGGTTGAGGGAGAACTTCCCATTCCAACTGGCGCAGTTTTTCAGCAGTGATTCTTGCAGTATGCGGTCTTGCGTTATCGTGGTGAAGAATTACGCCCTTCCGATTAATCAGCGCGGGTTCCTTTTCTCTTAAAGCTTGGGCTAACCTTTCCAATTGGGCGCTATACACTGCACTTGTAATGGTTTGGTTAGATCACATGTGTCAAACACAAGGCCCGCGGGCCAAATCCGTCCCGCCAGGCCTTGCAATGTGGCCCGCACCGCGCTGTCATCACTGCACTCCGCTGCGTTTCCATCACAATGACAGTTTATGACTGTTCAGTAAACCATTCGGCCCGCGATTTAGGCTGGATTTTAGATTTTGGCCCCTTCTCTGATTGAGTTCGACACCCCTAGGTTAGATGGTAAAAGTTCATAATGAAGAATTCCTTTAAAATTCCACCAAACACACAATATCACTTTTTTCGCATGCAAGTCAGGTTTTGGCGTGGGCTGCGGAGCCTCATTTTTGTCCAACCATTGAGGCCGCCTTTTCAAATTAACATACAGCACCCATTCTTCATCTCCAGTAACAATTTGCTCTAAAAACGGCTAACGGTTTTGACGAGAGAGGAGCGAACTGCAAATTGTGACTCTTTGATTACGGTTGTTGTCGGTCAACTCATGAGGAACCCATTTTCCAAACTTTTGGACTTTGCCAAGTGCACGCAATTGATTGGAAATTGTTTTTTGTGAACAATTTAAAGTTGTCGCAAGCTCTTGTTGGGTAATTTGAGGATTTTGCACCAAAAGAGCTTGAAGAGCTTCTTGATCAAAATTGGACACACGGCCTCGACCACTCTTGTCATCTAACGAAAAATTTCCCTTGCAAAATTTCTCAAACCAACGCTGGCATTTTCTGGCGCTAACTGCATCTTGACCAAGAGCACTACAGATGTTTTTTGCAGCCTCACTTGCTTTTCTTCCTCATTGGAACTTGTAAAGCATGCAGTGCCGAATATGCTCTTTATCCGCCATCTTCTTAGCCCTAGTTTTGCAACAAAAACCAAACCAAACACAAACTTTTTCAAGCAAAACTTGTTAATTGCACTTCACACGTTCTGTAGATACCACGTGTTTGAAGGTTATGTCAATACAAGTCAACGCCAAGCAAGATTTTAAATGAATGTTTACAAACGACATTAATTATTACTAGACCTGAAGTGTATTCTTTTCCTTTCTGTTCATTTACAGAACTATCAGTTTTTTCAAAATTTACCCAGAATACCTTCTTTCTGTCTCTTTCTCCACTACTCTACCACGTGCCTTGACTCTCCTACCCCAAGAATTATCATTTATCTACTGCTTCTACCTTTGTGAAGACGTTTATATTTCTATCCCTAAATGATTAAGGTGATCTCAAACTTAACATGAGGATAAACCACACACCTGCTTCCTCCAACTCGTCTTTCTTCATCAATGCTCCACCAATCACCTACATGCTAGAGACACAAGCCTCCTTCCTTCAGTTCCAGTTCATTAGCAAGTCCTGCTAATTCTTCAAGATATCATTCATTCTACATGCATTTGCCATGTGCCAGGCACTGCACTAAGCACTCAAAATACAGCAAAGAGGCAAAACAAATACAATCACTTCCTTCTAAACTTCATATAAGGGAAGGAGGGGAATGGAAAGCTAGACAGAACATGAGCAAAATAAATATGCAAAATAAGTAATATGTCATAAGGTGTGAAGTGCTATGGAGAAAAAAAGGAGAGGAAATATTGGAGGGTATGCAATTTTACATAGAACAGGGAGAGAGGGGGAAGCCTCATTGAGATGTTTGATTACATCCCACATTTAACCACTTCTAAAAAATATACTTTCTAGTCTCACTGCCTGGTCTTCCACAATAATATCCTAATTACTTTTCCTTCTTCAAATTCACTCTTGCCCCATTATAATTGCCATTTAGCAGCCAAAAACAAATTTTTAAACCGCTCCTTAAAACAGATAATAGCTTCTCATTTTACTTAGAATAAAGCCCAAACACCTCATTGTGGCTTTTAAGGACCTCCATAATGTTGCCCACCTCTTTTCCACTACCTCCTTACACACCTTTGTCCAAGCCCCACTGAAGTTCTCATAATTCTTTGAATAGACAAGCTCTAAAGCTTCTATACATACTACTCCCGAGTCTACTCCAAGACTTACTTAACTCATCCATACATAATTAAATTTTTTAAGTGTCACGATTTCATAAAAGATTTCTCTTGACATTCTGATTTAAATACCTTCACTCTATTTTCTTCTCTTCATAACTGTCTGAATTCATTTTAATTACCTATTTGTTGTTCTTTCTTCTAAACTAGACTATCACAAGAACATAGATTTCTGCTTTAATCTACTATGTTCCTACCTTACACAATGTCTGGCACATTGTAAGCTCTGTGAGTGCTGACTAAATTAGAATTATTTAATCCTATGACCCTATCAGATATGCTCCTCAGACAGTCCCTTATCAATGTTCATAGCTCATAGCACAGTGCCCAACATGTAATAGGCACACAAATGTGTGTTGAATTGATTTACAAAATTACACTTTTCCAAAATTAATATTTTACTTCCATGACTCAACACAAATTTTACAATATATACCTTTGTACACCCTCCATTTTTACATGAGGTCCCAATCTTAATTTCATCACTGTCTTCTTCTGAAACAAAAAAATCAAATGAGAAACATTAAAACAGAACACTTGACTATAGTGCCATTCTTAAGAAGTAACCTTTTCCATAAAACGAATATATTTTTAAAATAATCTAAATACAAAAATTTAACATATTAATATTAAGCATTTTAAGTAACTAAGTTTTCTATATGACCTTTCAAGTAATGTATTTAAAAAGCTAATAAGCCAACTATTGTGATTAGATTTTACCGATATCTCTAAAAGGCTATGTGACACATTTCTATTCTTAATAAAGTATTTATATCCAATATCTTAATCTTGTTTGAAAGAGAAATCTGGAAAGGGTACTTTCTTCCCATGGATATCATATATATAGTCAGAGAATATATTTTATCGAGTGCACACGGAAACATTTACAATTATCAAAGAAACTTATCTGTTTAAAAAATAGTAATGAATTGAAGAACAACATAATTTAATTAACAGGCTCTCATTTTAAATAAACCACATACCCATTCTCTGGTATTATTGGCACTTAAAAAACATTTAAATAATTTTTCTTTTTTTAAAATATATTTTATTGATTTTTTTTACAGAGAGGAAGAGAGAGGAATAGAGAGTTAGAAACATCCATGAGAGAGAATCATCGATCAGCTGCTTCCTGCACACCCCCTACTGGGGATGTGCCGGCAACCAAGGTACATGCCCTTGACCGCAATCGAACCTGGGACATTTCAGTCCGCAGACCAACGCTCTACCACTGAGCCAAACCAGTTTTGTTTAAATAAGTTCTTTACTACAGTGTGCTACATATGTATTTTTTATACTCAGTAAATTATCCAGTTCCTTTCCCTTTTAGATAAATAGTACAAAAAATAATTGCAACATAAAAAACAAAATCTTACCTTTGTCTTTTTCATTCCCAGATGACAGTTTAAGTTTATCCAGGGCTTGTTTTAGGGAGGCAGATACTTTTAATTCCAAACTTGTCATTGGTTCATCTGGGCTGGAGAATTTTGAAATTTTATTACCATCATTAATGTACTAAAATATTTCTTTGTACTAAAAATAAATATTTTTAAGAGCTTATTTATGGAAAGAAGCCAAATCATGTGTGAATCAAGATTTTCCTATTATAAAATTTTTAAACTGATTTTTAGAGAGAATAAGGGAGAGAGAGAAACATCAATGGGTTGCCTCCTCACAGGGCCCACCAGGGATTGAACCTGCCTCCTTTTGGTGTATGGGATGACACTCACATGAGCCACACCAGCCAGGGGGAGTTTTTCCAAATAACTGCTCTACTGAATTAACATGTCTAAGTTTTTTTTTTAAAATATCTTTTATTGATTTTTCTTTACAGAGAGGAAGGGAGAGGGAAAGAGAGTTAAAAGACATTGATGAGAGAGAAACATCAATCAGCTGCCTCCTGCACACTCCCTACTGGGGATGTGCCTGCAACCAAAGACCATGCCCTTGACCGGTATTGAACCTGGGACCCTTGAGTCCGCAGGCCAATGCTCTATCCACTATCCACTGAGCCAAACCAGTCAGGGCAACAAGTCTAAGTTTTAACAGAAAAGGTTCTGATATTAAAATATTAAGTCTCAAATAATAATGCTATTGCCAACAGAATGAATTATTAATCAATAGGCTAATGGGAAGAAAATAAAGAGTGGCAATCCAAGTTTGTCAAGATGAGTATATGCAAGGAAGGGACCATGATATACTTTTATGTTTCATGACTAAGCAAAATGCTGAGTATGTAATAAATAACCAATAAATATGTACTAAGTGAATCATATTCCTAACTGGTGGAGATAATTCACTTAGTGTGGACACTGGTATAACTTTAAATTCAGATGTATCAGCAGGAAATTTAAGTATAATAAAACAGTGACAGCATTCCCCTAGCATTTCATGATTAAGTGACATATGTACGATCTGTTTAAGGCCCATTCAATAGATATTATGACTATTAATAAATTCAGGAATGAAAATATAAAGCCTATTCATTCCACATCCTTAATGAAATGAAACCTCTGATGTAGGAGGCCATTAAAAAAGCACATAAAAACCTATATCCTCAAAATCTTTACAATACCACCAAATATAGGATAAAATATTTATCTCACTTCTTCTAAAGTAAAATTAGTAGTTGTCCATTATTTAAAAAAAAAATAGTAACTCATATTGACAATTATATGTACACTGTAATACTTAAGGAGTCATGTCACAATGCTTGTCTTTTTCTGATAATTAAAAAAAACAAAAAACTTTTTAGACTGCCAAGCAAGGCATTTGATAAAGTCTCTCATGATTTTTAATAAGGTAAAGTTGGAATAAAAATCACTCAAGTTGTTTGTTTAAATAAACAAAAAATCAAAAAAGTCTCTTGGGGTTCTTATCTTGATCTGATATAATTCAATACGCTATGAATTTAAGTAAGATCATTAAAGGAAAAGTTGGGAAACCCTGTCAACAGGAGCCATATTTGAGGACAAAGTCTAATTCATTCATGAGTCTTGTACTTTGGTTCTAAAATAATTCAGCACTCAAGTGCCACATGAATAAGACCTGGTGTAACAATGGCACCCAATTTGCAGTGTAGAATATAAAATTGATTCTAGGTGAGTATGAAGAATCATATAATTCTACTGAGCGAAAGTGCTTTAACAAATATCCCATGTAAATAAAATACATTAAAAACTTTAGCAGATATGCTATCTAAATCAAAGTCAGTAACGAGATTAATACAATAGTTTCAGGCATCTGAAAGTACTAGAAGATGGCAGTAAGTTTCTTCTAAGTGACAAAATATACACAAATAAAAAGAGAAACTTTGGCTCAATACAAGGGAAAATCACATAGTACTGATCTAGTAACAATGGACCCCTCTGAAGTAAAAGGACATTCTTCTTTAATAGATTTGAAAGGGGACTAAAAATTTTCCTGTCAAGAATGTCCTAAAAGATATTCAAGAACAGTAGAGAAAATGAGAAGGAAGACCTCTAAGTTCTTTTTCAACTCAACCTGATGAAAAGGACAATTCCTTTCCAGAATCTCACAATGCCCCAGTGAGAAAGACACAAGCCACGGCACAAGGCGGATGTGTTGCTCCTCTCCTTCCCCCCACCATAACTATGATGGTACAGTGACCAACTCTGCAATTAAGTTTACTGTGTACATGGCCTCAAGTTGAAGAGGCATAAAAATAAAAGATATCTAAAGGAAAACAAAATCGCAAAAAAGATGGTGACCTAAACAACTGTTACAAATGCAATTATGCAAAACAATAATACCAGGAACAAATGCTACTATTCACATGTGACAAAAATATGCAACTGTAAGACATGTACCTTGGCCTCTTTATTGCTTCTACTGGTTTAGGGGCTTGAATGATGTGCTCCTGAAATTTGGGTTTCAATTCAGATAGTTCTTTCTTCTCAGTAGTCTTGACTTCAGGTTTGACCGGCTCAGGAGGCTTTTCACTATTATGCCTACCTTTTGTACAGCCCTGTTAGTGAAAGGTATTCATTAAGAGTTACCCTCTCATCTATTTCACATGCCTTGATAAACATACTATATTTTATTCTTTATTAATAAGTCCTCTTCTTCCGTTTTATCATACTGACTTATTTTAAGAAACTAAAAGACTCTAAATTCACTATTATTTGTAAACTAGAGGCCTGATGCACAGATTTATGCACATTAAAGGAAATTAATTAGATGGTGGCCAGCAGGGCAGGACTGGGTGATACCTGCCGAACATGCCCTGGAGCCAACCTCCTGCAATCTCTCCCAGGCAGACAGGACCTGGGGTGGCCCCGGGCTCAAAGGGCATCTGTGAAGTAAGCAGGTCGCTCTAGCTGATGGGGACCCTGGCCTGTGGCGATTGGGCCAACATCCCCTGAAGGGTTCCAGAGTGCGAGAGGGCACTTTGCAAAGTTGCTATCACTGGACAGTTCTTGCATTTAGCATCTGTCTCCTGGTGGTCAGTGTGCATCATAGCAACCAGCCATTCAGCCAGTCGCTTAGTCTTTTATACATATATAGATGAGATATTATATCTGAATAATGCATTTTTTTAAAAAAAGCTTCTGACATAAATATCTACTTAACTCTCTATTAAACATACAGCACACAATTCTTGTTGATAGGAAAAAAATTCTAGAGATCTCACAAAGATAATTCTATAAATTATTTATTAAAGAGGGCCTCAATCTGATCCCCAGTTCTGCTACTAACTAGTTACATGACCTTTGACAATTAATCTTCTCAAATCTCAGTTTTCTAACCAGTAAAGGAGATAATGGTAAGATATTTTTTGAGAGGAGTGAATAAAGTAATAGAATACGTGGCACATCTGGCAGGTAGCAAACATACATACAATATATACATTTTAACATCTCTGAAATCATAAAATTAATGACAAGTCAATTAAGTAATGACAAGTCAATTAAGCTTTACTTTCCTTTCTTACAAGTATATAAAATAATGGTATATTTCTATGGAATGTCTGACTTGATAAAAAATGTATTGTTCCTAACTGAAAATACTTTAAATTGTTGCCTACCACCTTCCACCTCCCCAATATTCCTTTAGGACTAATTACTGTATCAAGCACAAACCAAAATTGAGAACTTGAAATTTTAATCTCTAAAACAGGTAGATAAATTCCTGCATTTTAAAGACTATAGGAGGGAGGTATGATATGCAGTTAACAGAACCTCAACTGAAATCAGATTCCTTAAATCTGGAGCTTCCCAGAATATGTACCCTTCAGGAGATAACCTAGAAAAAAAGTAATACTTACTACAATGCTTAAAAAATCAGAAAAATCCGTTGTTCTTCTCCTACAGCAAGACCAACCCTATGAAACATGAGAGGAAAAACACAAAACTGAAAACTGTATTTGCATGAGAACCACAATCCAAAAAAGAAAGTGCTTTACTTAGAAAATCTGGTAAATGAGAGAGATAATTATAATAATTTAGTTTCTAAATATTGTAGCTGTTCTTCAAAATATGAGTTCCACCTATCTTCAGAATAATATAAATTAACATAGTAACTTAAACACTGTTAGATCTTTGAAGGTCAAATGATCTTTTCAATCAGAAGCATAAAAATGTAACTTATGAACAAAATATCAACTGGATCATCAAAAAATTACTTGAACTTTAATTCCAATGTAGTTTAGAGAATGAGGAAATAAATAGGCAGCAAGACTTTGGAGGCCTGAAATATAGACTAAAGGTCAGTTTTGCACATACCCATCTGGGTCTCACATCACCTCCTTTCCCCAAATATAATGCTTGAAGAATTTGGTAGTGATATTTTCACAATATGCTCTAAGAGGTGCTTTGTTTTTGATTTTTTTAAAGAAAAATTTTATACATATTTCCTGTATTTTGAAATGTAATTCTTTTTTATTCTAAACTAGAGGCACGGTACACAAAATTCGTGTGGGGGGGGTGTCCCTTAGCCCAGCCTGCACCCTCTCCAATCTGGGATCCCTCTCACAATCTAGGACTACTGGCTCCTAATTGCTTGCCTGCCTGCCTGCCTACCTTCCTGATTGCCCCTAACCACTTCTGCCTGCCAGCCTCATCACTCCCTAAACACTCCCCTGCCAACCTGATTGATGCCTAACTGCTCCCTTGCCAGCCTGTTTGCCCCTAACTGCCGTCCCCTGCAGGCCTGATCACCCTTAACTGCACTCCCCTGCAGGCCTGGTCACCCCTAACTGCCCTCCCCTAAAGGGCTGGTCTCCCCCACCTGCTCTCCCCTGCAGGCCTGAGTCCCCTCCAACTGCCCTTCCCTATAGGCCCAGTCACCCCCAATTTCCCTCCTCTGCTGGCCTGGTCCCTCCCAACAGCCCTCCCCTGCTGGCCATCTTGTGTCCACATGGGGGCAGCCATCTTGTGTGTTGGAGTGGTAGTCAATCTGCATATTACTTTTATTAGATAGGATAGAGGCCTGGTGCATAAGTGGGGGACAGCTGGTTTGCCCTGAAGGTGTCCCGGATCAAGGTTGGGGTTCCCTTGGGGCGTGGGGCAGTCTGGGCGAGGGGCCTGTGATGGTTTGCAGGCTGACCACGCTCCCTGGCGACCCAAGTGGAGGCCCTAGTATCTGGGGTTTATTTATCTTCTACAATTGAAATTTTGTAGCATGGAGCTGAGCTAAGCCTTCTGTTTCCAGGCAGCAGCCATTTCTGTTGGGACTTATGTATTTTCTATAATTGAAACTTTGTAGCCTTAAGTGGAGACCTGGGCCAACCAGGGTTTGCAGAAAGCTTGGTTTCCGCCATTGCCAGGGGAACTCTAGCCTCCCTCCTGCTCTCAGTAGCCATAGCCATCTTGGTTGGGTTTATTTGCATATTAGTCTTTTATTAGATAGGATTGAGATATAGATGAAAAATTACTACAACTTTAAATAAAGGCTTTAAATAGCATTAATAATATAGCCACCAGAGAAGTCATTACATGCAAGCAAAGGTTTTCTTGTCTTAACTATATATGAAGAATTTTATCAAGATGGTGGGAATACTGGGCTACACAAGTGATATAGACTAACTGTTCCCAAATGCCAATCTGGGATGAATGGTAGTCCTCAGTAATGAGAACAAATGAAGGATAAATTTAAGCAGGTGAGTATAAGGTTCCTGTTGTTTCTTCAGAAGTATTTTCTTTTTCTCTAAACATACCACTTATAAATTGAATATTAAAATGTTCTTTCTTTTGATACTGCAAGGTTTAACTTCTTACTTGATCAAGTATAAAACTGGCAACAGTAAACATTATATTGACTAACAAAGTTTGTCTAAAATTGAGTGAGCTGTGAAATCCAGTAGTCTTAGCAAGTGTAAGTCTTCAAGAAATGTTTATAGAGACAATAACAACAATAGGGTTCCTTTAGGACTACTTACTGTATCAAGCACAAACCGAAATTGAGAAAAATTTTGGTTTGTGTGTTTTCATAAAAATTTCCTCTCTTCTCTAGTAGGGTTGGAGAAGAGAGAAATAAAAATACTTCAAAGTAAAATCATTAACATTAATTAATCAGAATGATTAACTGTTGTTTAGTAAAAAAGAGTTATGGACTGAATGACTGGAAAGTTAGTGATAGCTAACAGAAGTAAGATTGAGAGGCAGGGTATTTTTGGAATAAGAGTCCACTGTTCTGCAGTTGCCAAGTACACACAGAAATGGAAATATGTTGGAGAAGCCAGAGGTAACATTTGAGGGAGAGGAATGAATTAACAAAATGAGAGAAAGTAGGAAGTCGAAGATTGAGAAGAAAACTATGACTATGGTTAATAAATTGGAAGAAAAAAGAAAAACATGAAATAAGAAAACCAAACTTAGAATAAATGGTAGGCCAGGAAAGCTACAACACTCCTCACTCCTGCAAAAAAAAAAAAAAAAATTCCCACAGAATCACAGTTTCCATCCTTATAAGTTTGTGAAAAGTCTAAAAAAACCATAAGGAGGAGTCAGGTCTTAACTTGCCCTATTGAAAGTTTGTTCTGTTTCCCTCACTTAAAACTAACTAGAATAACATAAACTTGCTATTTGCTTGTGCATCTTTGTTTATAGTTGGCTATGGAACAGCTAAATGTCAAAAAAGAGCCAGCTACTCCCTGAAAGGTACTATATTAGAAATTCAAAGGGAACCAACAGTATTTAAACATGCAATCAGATTGTTAATGCCACTACAAATAAGTAGCCACACAAAACCATGCCACCATACTGCAACTTTTTCTTTTTAAGATATATAGTAATGGGAAATGTACCATGTTATCATACATTTTAAAAGGCCAATAAACTTACCATGAAAAACCTGGACAAACAACATTCTATTACTTCTCCAGATCAAAGAATAGGTGGGAAACAGGTGGCATCTCTTTCCTGTTTATTTTCACTCTGAAGTTAGACGCTGTCCCGAGATTGGCACCATTAAGTTTTTATTAACAATCTTTCCTTAAATTCAGAGCTGCCCTTATTAGACAGCAGCTGTCTGACAGATTGAGATTAAGATTCAAAACTACCGTATTTTTCGGACCATAAGACGCTCCGGACCATAAGACGCACCAGTTTTTAGAGAAGGGAAATGAAGAAAAAAAGATTCTGAAACAAATAGTGTCCTAAAATATTTTATGTGCATTAAAACCCAACATCACAGTCATAAACACATGTAACCAACCCTGTAAAGTAAACAGCAGCATTTAGAACCATTTTAGAGCCGGGCAAGCACACAGAGACCACACAGAGCCGGGCAAGTAAAAAAAACTTTTTTTTTAAAGTATATGTGTAGGCTATATTTGGACCATAAGACGCAGGGACTTTCCCCCCCCACTTCTGGGGGGAAAAAAGTGCTTCTTATGGTCCGAAAAATACGGTACTTTCATTTCCCTTCAAAATTAGGAAAGTGAAGAAGTGAGAGTTATAGAAAATGAGTTGGGATAGCAATAACCACTTTATAACTGGAAAAGATCTGTCCCTGCATTTAGTGGAGGACTTGCTTAAATCATCCCAAAATGGTCATTAAGAAAGCAGAATAACAAAATGAGAAATAAAGATTTAGTATTACAGCTCTAAATTTACTCTATAAATATAAAGAGGCTGAAATATATCAAATTCCTACCTTTAATGCATCGTGAAAGACTGGTACACCAGGGTGGTATGTGCAAGCATCTGGGCAAAAACAGAGAAGAAAAAAAATACTACTTTATAATAAAGAAATAACATCATTTCCTTCAAGTGTTAACATTTGGTTTTTGTAATTGTTTATCCTCATCTGAGAATATTTACCTGCTGATTTTATAGAGAGTGGAAGGGAAGGAGGGAGAAAGGGTGAGGGAGAGGGGAGGAAGAGAAAGGTGAGAAAGGGAGGGAGGAGGGAGAGTTGATTGGTTGCCTCAGGGGCCGGGGATTGAGCCTGAAAGGAAGTACATACCCTTAAGGAGAATCAAACCCTAGACCCTTCAGTCTGCAGGCCAATGCTTTATCTACTGAGCCAAATCTGTTAGTGCTCAGGTGTTAACATTTTATCTTCTTTCCAAATGCAGGCAATACTTTTCCTTAAAAATTCACTAATGCTCAAATATGATGCATGCCACACAGTGCTTATTATAGCATTGCATTAAAATAGTAGTAATAAAGTTATAATTCAGGAGAATGATAGTTATAGATAAAAATAATGCAGAATTATTCAAGAATAACAAATTACATTCCGTATTCCTCTAATCTTAGTAAAATTTTAGTACCAAAACTTGAAGCTCCAAGATTTTGACTGTTATCTTTCAATTGTTTTTACAAAAATACTGTCAAACTTTAAGATTACCTAAGAGATAATCTTAGGACAGGAATGAATTAACAAAAAGATCTTTTAGGAAAATAGGTTCCAAAGTTTAAAAACTGTTGTACTATCTAATTGCTAATTTAATTTTCATAAACAGGCATCAACTCTTAGAGATGAACCTCATTAAAAAGAAGGTGAAGTTCTACAGTCTATTTTCACCGATTGTTATTCTGTATTTCCTTATACTTTTCTTCATTGCACCACCAATTTTTACCTCTCTCATGAAAATGAGTTTGTAGTATGGACAACTATGTTGAAAAAAGTCACATAATAGACACATTTACCATGCTTACGAAAAAAACAGTTCAATTCCATACCTGTGTAATCTATAATAATAAAAGCGTAATATGCTAATTAGACCAGACAGCTGAACAACCTTCTGGAGGAAGCTGGACTGTGAGGGCCAAAGCAAGCCACCGCAGCTGCAAGTGCCAAGCCCCTTGCACGGCACGAATTTTGTGCATTGAGCCTCTAGTTTTCTTATAAGATGTGTTACTCAACCTACATGTCCTTTTGGATTTCAACTGTTACAACCTTTGACTCCTGGTGTTGATTAAATACTGGTACTTATGGAAATCTCTCTATCCCTGCCTGAACAGCCAAATATGGTTTCTTAACTTAGTAACCAGGTGTTGTCTAGATACTAAGCTGGCAAACAGAACAAGAAAGTGTCAAGTATTTTCATGGCACAGTAAATAAACCCATGGATTAGAAAGAAGCTATTAAGGGTAGAAAAAGAATCAAGGACTAAAAGAGGAGGTTCAAAGTAGAAATGAATGTGCAGAGGGATATGAAACTGAGAGGGGAACCAAAGTAGTGAACAGAGACTTTTAAAATGCCAAATTTACCAAGAGTCAGGGGCATAAATGCATAACAGTAATAAGTACTATCATAATAATGGTCAGTTTTTGGCAGAATAGCAGCAGCAATGAGTCAGGTCTTAACCATACAACTAGTATGAACAACATCGGAAAATCACCACTTTCAAAAGCAAGCAACAAATAGATGGACAATGTCCTCTCTAGCCTTTCTATGGCACTTTTACCAGTTTTTCTCCAAGTAATATTTTATGGGTAAGAAGTTACAAATTGGTAGTGGTTAAGAGCCAAGGGCTTTTAACATTGGAACTGACCCCAGCTCATATTCTGACCTGCCTCTTGGCAGCTGTTTCAATTTTCTCATGTATGTGGACTAAACAAAACACTGTTTGTGAAATGGTGATTTTTTCAGAATAACTGTTTATAACATGCGAGTTACCAGTCAGGTTTCCTTTAAACACTCATTTAGTTAGTTGTGTTTCAAACTGAAATATTCTATCAGCTTTGAAGAGCCTTGTTATTTAGTCAATACCTGTCAGATCTCTCCCATTATACAGAACTTTCTCCTAACATCGTCCACAGGTCATCCTTCGCTCTTCTAATTTCTAACTCCTTTTTCTTAACTTTCCATTCTATCAATCAACCTACTGGAATATTTATTCCAAGTCTCTAAATTGGGGTGGGAACCTTTTTTCTGCCAAGGGCCATTTGGCTATTTAAAATATCATTCATGACTTGACAAAATTATCAACTTAAAAATTAGCCTGCTATATTTGGTCAAACATTTAATTAACTCACCCCTAATGCGTTGGCAGGGCCGGGCCAAATGATTTCGTGAGCCTTACACCACCTGCTTGATGTTCCCACCTCTGCTCTAAATAATCCCCATTTCGCTAAAGCAAAGAACGTGAGGCAACTTGATTGGCGCTCCCAGGTGATTTTGGTATTGCTGATGGAACTGCCCACGCCTCTGGCGTTCCTGTACCCCACGCCCAATCTCTTTTTGTACCATTTGACACTCATAGAGCTAACTTCCAAAAAATGGTGTATCTCTTCTTAATTTTAACACCCTATAAATCAACATACTGTCCGGTACTACCAAGCATCAGCCTTTCACCATTACTAAATTAAAGTAGAATACACGCAGACATTAAAGGAGCTTACCCCCCGCCCCCTCACTGGAGGATACTTTTCCATTGGTTTTTAGAGAGTGGGGGAGAGAGGGAAAGAGAGAAATATCGATGTGAGAGAAACACATGGATTGATTGCCTTCTCCATGAGCCCCACCAGGTCCAGGGTCAGGGCAGAGCCTGCGAGAGAGGTACCTGTCCTTGACCGGAATCAAACCTGGGACCCTTCAGTCTGCAGGCCATCGCTCTAGCCACTGAGCAAACAGGCTAGACTTGGGCAAGGCAGTCTACTTTTCACATAGGCTACCAATAGCAGAGGGCTTTAAAACCCCTCACTCCTCAATTATGTCATCACTGAAATCTCAGTTTCCCCCTTGAATAACTTAACATTAATATTAATGTCAACGACAATCACTTTAGTATTGTACAAAGATTGAATTTATCTTTTCCTTAGAGTCTTGCCAATGCTCTTATTTTAAATGATGCCACCAATTCACCTGTGCACCAAGACAAATATGTCAAAGATCTCAGAGCCTGGAGATTTAATCTTCACAACGTGGAACCATGTGGCTACCACGTTGAACTCAGCCTCTCTGAATAATACCTACTTCACAGGGTTGTGGTGAAAATTAAAATGAGATAATGTTATAATGTCCAGCACATAGAAAACCTACACTAAGCGCTAGAGCTGATTTTGAATAAGCGTCACCTCCTTCAATATTCAAATAATCAAGTCACTTCTTTGTCCCATTCGCCAATCAAAATTCAAGTTCATTGATCACTTTCTATTTTTCCTCTAGTCTGGTAACTAACTTTTACTTTACATCCTTAATGCTACATCTTGGTGTTGGGAGTTAATCCAATTACTTTTATCCATAACATGGCATGTTATTTTACTTATTTTGGTTAATCTTCACTGGAGGTTACTTTTCCCATTGATTTTTTTGGAAAAAGTGGGAGGGAGGGAGGGGGGCATACACCCACTGGTTTCCTCTCGCACGCATCCCCTCACAGGGGCCGGGATGGAACCTGGCAAGCAGTGAGGTGCCCCTTGGCCGGGAATCGAACTCGCGACCCTTCTGGGCACGGGGCGAGGCTCTAACCACTGACCCACACCGACCACGTTATTAAAACAAGAAAGGCCAGAGCAACAATTACAATACCCAGCACTCCCCCGGAGCGGGTGTATCAACACTTGAGACACAGAATCATGTTCCTAACCAAAGCAAAGTACGCTTATAAAAGTAAGTTTATAGCAGGAGGGGGTCTCCCATACACGCCGCAAGCCAGCTTCCAGACAAATGAACTTCTACACGAATACGACCAGGCCGAACCCCGAAATGCTGGGCTAACCCGCCCACCGCCCAGTCCTCCGGTCTGTCTGTGTACACGTACACACACACACACACACACACACACACACACTCACACACACAGAACCCCCCGCCCGGGGAGCCCGGAGACGTGGCTGGGGGAAGGTGTCCCCATTCCCGGCGAACAGGAGAGCGAGCGGCGGGAGACACGTGCGGCCGCGGGGGAGCGGCCCGGGTGCGGGCGGGGACACGGGCTCCCGCCGGGGGCCGCGCACCTGGGGCCCCGGGAGGGACCGATCGGGGGCTGCGGGGCGCAGGCTCGCGGGGGGACCCAGGGCTCCCGGGGTGCAGGGGGGCGGGCGGCGCGGTTCCCTCACCGTCGGCGTTGCTGTCGGCATCGAAGCGCTGGCCGCAGCCGCGGTTGTAGCAGAGCAGCGCCATCTCCGTCCCAGCGACCGGGCCGCGGGGCGGGTCGCGTTCAGCTCCCGCTGCGAGCGCCAGTCTGGCGGCGGCGGGAGCCGGCTTCCGGAAACGGCCGCTTTCAGGTCGGGAACCTTCGCGAATTTTCCGGTCGCGCAGGCGCAGAGATGGGAGGGGAAGGGGCGGAGGCAGAGGTAGGGGCGGGGCTTCGTCCGGAGGCGGGGCTGCGGCGGGTCAGGCTCAGGGTCATCAGGCTCCAGCGGAGCGGCGGGGCTGCAGGCTGGGAGGTGGGCCCCGTTGGCCCCGGAGAAATCTGGATGGCGGAAAGCTTGGGCCTCCGCGGGCATGGCCAGCTTTTTGGGGCTCCTTGTTGGCTCCGGGTGACTCCCGCAGGTACTGCCCTCTTCCGCTCAAGACTGCAATTACACCCCGTTGTGCATGGTTTCTCCCCCAGAGGCTTGAGAGCACTGGTCTGCAAACTCAGTCAACAGAGCCAAATAAATTTCTTTTTGGAGAGCAAATTTTTTAAAAAAGTGAAACTTCTTCTAATGCCACTTTTTCAGAATAAGACCTGCCCAGGCCGTGGTATTTTATGGAAGAGCCGCAATCAAGGGACCAAAGAGCCGCATGTGGCTCTCGAGCCGCAATCTGCCCACCACGGTGGTTTGAGAGTATCTGCAGAATCCTGTGGGTTTCCTGAGTCCTCCCACTAGGGCGTGGCTGCGGCGGGAGCAACGAGAGGAGTGAGTGGCGGGCGAAGCTGCCTGAGTGTCCATCGTTTTCATTCTGAAGCTCTGAAGAAATGTGGGCCGTGAGCGCGATTTGACTGAGTCCTTGGGGTCCCCAGGTCGCTGTGAAAATACAAAGCGCTCAGAGATCTGAGAATCAAAGGAAAGAATGAATCTCATGCAGTGCAGGCAATGGTTGCTTTCATGTTAGTTTCCATTTAATTTAGTTTGTCGGTACATAATTCTGCAACCTTGGGACCTCGAGTAAGATTTCATCACGTGCATGGTACATCTCCTAGTAATGCATTAGCAGGCACACGCAAAGGACTCTAGCTCCGACTTGTATACCTGCCAAACGCCTTTAGATAACAATATTAAAATAGGAATATCAGTAGTTTTTCAGAAGCACAAAGCTACATACCATGTTTTTAGTGATCCCACGTGTGTTAATGAGAGACCAGCTCATAATCCTACCTCCCCTCTCCCGCCCCGCAATATTTCCATGTTCCCCTCCCCTCTTTATATTTAGAAATATTATATGTAATGTAGAAGAATCCTGGGTTCGATTCCGGTCAAGGGCATATGCCCGGGTTGCGGGCTCCATTCCCAGTGTGTGGTGTGCAGGAGGCAGATCGATCAATGATTCTCTCTCATCATTGATAGCTCTCCCTCTCTGAAATCAATAAAAAAATATATTTTTTTAAAAAAAGAAACTTTTTAAAAAAAAGTAATGTAATAATTCCAACCTGGATATATACAATGTTATATTCTTCATTTAACCTAATATGAGTATTTTTCTATTTTATTTTGTTATGAATGATGAAGTAATATTTTGTTGGATAACTGTTCTTCCTTTAATTTCACCAACTTTCTTTATTGGACTTAAGCTTTGATAATCAACTTACTGTATGTTGTTTTTCTTATTTTAGATTACTCCTCAAAATAATTGTTGAGTATAGTACTGGAGTAAAGGGCATAAGCCTTTTAAAATAAGTTAGACATTTTAAAGATATATATTGCTGATTATTTCCAAAAGGTGATACCAATTTGCAATTTTGCCAGCCATGTATGCAAGGAATAAACCATAGGAATTGGTCTTACACAATTAGAAATGGAGAAACTTAGAAAGCTTTAATTGTGGCCAAATCCATTGTCTAAGTAACATTATTAGGATTGTTGGCAAATAGTTTTAATACTTGTCAGTTTTTCAACTATAATTTGTAAAAACCAGAAAATTATAAATGCTTATGATAATTTGAAAATGCAGAGATATGTCAAGATCAAAATCTAGAATGATTCCACCACCTAGCAATAAGTACTAAATCACTAAAATAACTTTTTGATAAATTCATTTTCAAGTGTTGCCATTGTTTTTGTTTTTGTTTTTTTTCCAACCCTAGGCACTTGTTGGATCACCAGGTACCAGGAATAAAGGAACTGTGCTGGTAACATACATCGTTTACATAGCCTTTGATTCCAGCTCCTGATCCCTTCCCCCAACACACAGTTATAAGTACTCTTACACAGTATCTTGATATTATTCCTACGTTTTGAAAGCAGTGCTAGAGAGTAGTTAAGAGGAGAGTTTTGGAGTCAGACCAGTATTCAAACCCTAGCTCTATAACATAAAGTTAAAATACTTAAATCTGATCGTTTCAGAACATCTCTTTAGACTTCAATATTCTCTTCTGCAAAAAATAATAATTTTGTGTAGATGATGGGTGTGTTCCTGGTATTAAAAGCATGTAAATAAATAACCTGTAAAACACTTAGTACATTAGCTTGCTCATGGTAGAAGCTCAATAAATGAAAACGATATTTTTTTCTTTGAAAATTTCTATGGAAATAGTCTGACTTAATGGTAATTAGTCCTATTGCTGCAAATACCAGTATTTTCTTAAACAACCATAGGTGATTCTCTGTTGCCATTGAAGTGTTTCCCAATATTTTCTTTTATAAATAATAGTATCACAAAGACATCAAGAAGTATGTACAAAAATGTTCAGAGTAGCATTATTTAATGAAAGACAGAAACTGGAAATAATCCAATTATTAAGGAATTATGAAAAGGTTTGCACAAATTAGATACTACACAAAAATGGGAAGGAATGAACTACAAATTCAACAAAATAGATGAATTTTGCAAACATAATGTTGCGTCCAAAGAGCCAAAGGGAGAAAGAAAAACCATGCTTTGTAACCATTTACATAAATTTCAAAAGCAGGCATAAACAAGCCATTGTGTTTAAGAATGATACCAACATGAGAAAGCCATAAGTTGTTGTCATAAATGCCAGATGATGGTTACTTTTAGGAAGGTTAGAGGAAAGGCGGATGTCTCTGAGGTATTGGCATATTTCATTTCTTAATGTGGTGCATGTTCACTTTATAATGATTCATAAAGTAATGCTCTTATTTTATGTACTTTTCTGTTTTATTTTTCCCATAGTACAGGAATCTGAGTTCTAGATGCTTAAGTATTTAAAATTTCCAGTGGTAACATAATGTTTAAATGTTATAGCATACTTTTTTCATATAAAAGACTAGCTTGAATAATCAAATTAGATACTGATTGGTTGTCTACAGAAATATCTTTGAACTCTAACTTATTTACAGTGAAGGGTCTTTGGAAATTGGATGGAAATAGGTAAACAACCAGGGAATTAAGGGAAAAAACACAAAAACAACCAGTAAACAAACCATCATCTACCTATTATCTCAAATCAGAGGAGTAGAATAGTCAGCCATGAGCAGGTAACTTGTCAACTTTCATTTTACTTCCTGACCAATTATAAATCTTGAGTGCCATGTAAGATTAATTAACCCTGGCTACCTGTCTACAACAGGAAGTCCAATCTCAGTGTTTAAAAAGTAATCTAACTTTTAAAAAAAGTAATCTTACTTTACTAGCCGGTTTAACTCACTCTTTCTCTCCCCCTCCCCCTCTTCCTTCCCTTCCACTGTCTCTAAAAATTCAATATGAAAAATATCCTAGCTGAGACCGGTTTGGCTCAATGGATAGAGCGTCAGCGTGGGGACTGAAGGGTCCCGGGTTCGATTCCAGTCAAGGGAATGTACCTTGGTTGCGGGCATATCCCCAGTAGGGGGTGTGCAAGAGGCAGCTGATCGATGACTCTCTCTCATCGATGTTTCTAACTCTCTATCTCTCTCCCTTCCTCTCTGTACAAAATCAATAAAGTATATTAAAAAAAAATATCCTAGCTTGAGAAGTAACCAATTAAAAAAAAGTAATCTTAGATGTATTTTGATTACATGTGTCATATTGAACCTCCATTTTTTCCCTCAGATCCCACTAAAATGGTGGTGAAAGTACACACACATACTCCATAGGTTTGAATAGGGTACAAAAATAGACAATTTATATCAGCAGCTTTTGTTTTGTTTAATTGTGTCTTCATTGTGGTATTTAGGAATGTTTGTATTTTGTTCCAGTGGTTTCCTGTGTACTGATACCTTTATAAAATTACCATTTTCTTTTTCTCACTTAGCCTTTCCAACTCAGCTTATCAGATTTAACTGACTTGGACTTTTAGTTTCCTTTAAACCAGGGGTTTTCAACCTTTTTTTAATCTTGTGACACACAAACTGATCACTAAAATTCTGTGGCAAAAATAGGTATAATTTGATTCATTCACACTGGACAGCTATTTTTGTGTTGGCTATTATCTTTTTTTAAGTTGACAATCTAAGGGAAAAGAGGTCAGTTTTCCTGTCTAAATAGTCAAGTATTGCATTTTAAAAAAATTCTTATGGCACACCAATGTGTCTCTTTGGGTACACAGGTTGAAAATTGCTACCATAAAAAGTTTATGAGATTATTATTCTTTTCTTCTTTCCTTCCCTCTCTCACTTTGTTTTTTTTTTTTTTCCTTCTATTTTGTTAGAGAGTGTAACATTTACATGTTAGTCTTCCCCTCTGATGCCTACCTTTATTATTTATTATTTAGATATATTTATCATTTACTTTATATGTTAACATAGAAATGCATATCCATCAAATATATGTATTTATTTACTCATAAGAAATGTATTAAAAGTCTATTCACTGCTTACCGTTAGTCTTGTGGCTAAAGTGTCCTCATTCTTGTGGTCAGATGAAGTTGGTCTTCCAATAGAATCATCAGGAAGAGCTTATGAAAACAATATTCTCTGAGTTCTTACATGTTAAAAATATTTTTTCTATAGACCTGAAACTTAAAGAAGGACTTGAGTAGATATAAAATCATTTGTTCATACTTGTTTTCTAAGCATTTTTACAAATATTGCTTCATTATCCTGATTTCTGCATTGTTCTTTGTAAATATTGGACATCTGACGCGGGGAATGCTATTCAATTAAAAAGTTCTACATTGAAAATAAAATCATTTGTT